CTTTATTTATTAAATAATATCCTGTTAAACATTCTCTACATCCATATTCTTTATCTATTTCTCCTTTACATCCTTTAATTGTTGTTGTTGATTTACATATTCCTGTTGAACTCATAAAATATCCTTCTCCACATATTATACATTTATCTTTTTGATTACATGTTAAACATTCTTTTTCACATTTTGAACATCCTTTCCCATTTCTATAATATCCATTCTTACATATTCCACATCCACTTCCATCTGCTAATATTTGTAAACATGTTCCATTTAATTCTTTATTTGATTGACATGTTTTATCATTTCTTAAATATTTATCATTAGAACAACTCATACAATATGTAGATGTTCCATAACATGTTTCACATTTATCATCACATTTTAAACATTTCATGTCTTTTGTTAAATAATATCCTTCTTTACATCTTTTACATCCATATCCATTTTGTTCTTCACAATATTCTATTTTTGTATTAATACATTCTCCCTTCAAATTAGGTGAATATGTATTTAAACATTCAACACATTTTCCATTAACATATGATTTATTTAAACAATATGAAATATTATTATTACATTTTCCATTTTGATCTTTTATCATATTTTCTTCACATGTTTTATTTATACATTTATTATTATCTAAATATTCTTCATATTTACATTTTATTTCAATATCATTTGTTTGACATATTTCTGATTTTGAACATTTTATACATTTATTATTATTGATGTATTTTCCATTTTCACAATATATTTCTTCATTCTTTCCATTTTGATTCTTTTCTTTATTTGAACATTTTCCATTATTTAATGTATATTTATTTGAACATGATACACATTTATTTCCTTCATAATAACATTGATCTTCTTTATCTCCAATACATTGATTATTTTGTATTTTATATCCATTTGAACATTTTAAACAATAATTTCTTTCTGATTTATTACATTTATTATCAATTTCTTTACATTCTCCATTTTCTTTAATATATCCTTCTTTACATTGATAACAATATGTTTTATATCCTACAATACAATTATCTGGTAATAATTGACATTCTTTATTTGAATTTAAATAATATCCTTTTTCAAATTCAATACATTCTTGTATTTCTTGTTTATAAATCAACATATTACAATTCTTATATCCAATACTATCTAATGTTATTCCTTTCATTCTAATAATCATTATTTGACTTTTATTTGTTGTTGATGTTGTTTCTGAATATTCAATATCATTTGAAAAAGATAAATGTTTTGAAGAAGAAATAATTAGTGTTGAAATTGATTTATTATTATTTTCTACTTCTTTAATTAATGTTATTCCTTCATTTGATTGTTCAATTGTTAAACTGAATTCAATTTTTTGATATGGTTCTTTCTTTCTATAAATATTGAATGTTATTTGATTTGATGATTCAATTTTTAACTATTGATTAGGATATATATACACTGTATGGGTCTTTGATGGTTTATAGTTATTTCTAATAATATAATTATTTGTTGATAATGATAGTTGACAATAATTAGATAAAGATACAGTAACAACACATAAATTGAAATCATCGATATCACCTTTTGTGAAAATACGATTATATTCTGATATTACATTATGGAATTTGATAGTACTAGTACTAAAAATAATGAACTCTTTAACTTTTTGTTTTGTTAAAATAATGTTGTTTGATAATTTTGTATTTTTTATTCATTATATATTTATTGAGCTTATTTGAAATTAAAATGAAGTTATTAAGGAAAGTTATCGGATTAAAAATAAATTGTAGAGAGTATTTTTTTAGTTTTATAAAGAAAATGAAAGAATTATATTTATAGCACAAATCTTGGTTTATAAAGGTTTCTTTCTTCTTTCTTTATTTTAAGTTAAACAATTGACATTCTCCATTGTGAGATAAAAAAAAAGAAATGCTCTTTTATTTTTAAAAGAAATTAAAATAGTAAAAATTGCTTTTATTAAATTTTAAACGGTTATAAATTAATTTGCTCAACAGTTGGAGTAGTCTCTAAGATGAATCAATTAATATTTTATTTATTTTGATGTATTGTTATAAAAAAAATACTTTCAAAGGTATTTTCTTTTTATGAATATCTTTGTTTCTTTTTGTTCAAAGTGTCTTTAGTAAGAAGTTGGATTCATTGAATGAATACTAGAAATCTATGAGTATATAACTAATCTTTTTAGTTTTTTAGTTTAAATAAAATACATATTATAAGAAATTAGTATATTGAATGAATTTTATTTTAATATTTTCCTTATTTTGTAGAAACGAAACAAACATCATAATAGGTATTAAAAGAGAAAGGTTTTATAACAAAGATTAGATATATAGTTTTATGTTGAAATTAGTTAAAATAAATGAAATAAAAACAAAATAAAAATCCAGTAATTATATATTAGAAAATAGAATAAAAAAGGAAATTAATACATCTTAGTTTTCTGGTTCAACAGTAATAATTTTTTTCTGTTTGAATATTCCAAAAACTTTACAATATATATTACATTTATGGGGTATTGTATTTGTCATATTTCTTCTTTTCCAATAATAAAATTTTGATGTAGAATTACAATGAACAACAACCGATGAAATAATAAATATGTTTTTTTCATTTCTAATTCCATAAATTTCATCAATGAGTATTGTTTCCTCACTTTGAATAAATACAAAATGTATAAATGCTTGAATAATATCATTTGAAATAATTGATTTAGAATTTAAACATTGACTTAATAAAATATATCTTGAAAAAGGATTATTTTTATTTGGAGTAAAACAATACATTTTTTCAAAATGAATTTGTTTATTTTTTAGTCCACAACATTCACAACGAGTATTAAATTCGTCTACAAATATTTTAATAATTTTTTGTCCTTCAAAACAATCAATAATTTCATATTCATTTCCTTCAGCAATTTTATTTACTTCTATTTTAGGTGTTGGTGTATCAATAATTATTTTTCCTTTTTGGTATTCAATAGTCATTTCATTACTTTCTTTCTTTACTGGAAATAATAATCCATTCCAATGAACAAATTCTAATTCAATTGAATATCCTTTTTGTTTTTGTTCAAATTGAAAAGGAATAAAACAATGTTCGTTAATATAATATTTAAATAACTCTATTGGTACTTTTATTTTAATATAAGGATTGAGAATACTATTATCATTTCGAAGAAAACAAATTGTCATCAACCTTTTCTTTAATATTTCAAGCTCTTTTGAAATTTGTATTTCATTTGGAAGAAAAGGAGAATCAATGAAAACAATTCTATTACTAAAATTCATTTTTTCTTTTTTTAATGGTTTTAAAACTTCAATAAGTGATGTTATAGATGAATTATTTCTTCACC